ATGTGATGACTATTAAAGATTTTAAATTGGTCAAATACTTAAAGTGAAACTGAAAGAGATGATTTTAAAGTATTAATGAAATGAACTGCATTTTTCTTTTGATCATTCATGCATAGAACATCATAAGAATTTAATGTATATTATATCATAATTACTTAGTAAGTTATACTTATAATTGCAAATTAATATTTTCTTTTAGAAGAATAAAAATTTTAGATTGATATGTCTAATAGGAGAGACTTTGCTTACTAGAAGAAAACTATTGATGTCAGGTATTTGTATGATGATAGTTTCTCTTTACTGTTTCTTTCAAATATTGATAAACTATTTAGCACCGATATGTGACGTTGTCTTTGGATGTTATTGTTACTAGATAATTTAGATTTTATTGCACTTTGTGGATTAGTGACTTTTATATGTATTGGAATTTTTCAACATGTGAATAGTTTGGTGTTAATACCATCTGACCGCTGAAACTTTAGTTAATTCAAAGCACTGGGTCAAGTAGTGACAATAGATCTGGTGGCAGGGTTGTAACAACGGGTAATCAAGTTATCAAAAGGCGTGAATGTTTTAGATATCTCGAGTCTATTATTCAAAGTAATGATGATATAAATGGGGATGTTACTAATAGAATTCAAGTTGGATGGTTTAAATGGAGAAATGAATTGGGCATATTGTCTGATAGAAAAGTAACATTTAGACTTATCAAGAAAAAATTTATAAGATGGTGGTGAAACCTTCAGTGCTTTATGGAGAAGAATGTTGGCTTGTAAAAGAAAAAGCATAAAAGTAAGTTAAGTGTTGCTGAGATAAGTGGTTTTACAATTAGAGACAAAATGCAAATGAATATATACAAGAAAGTGTTGGAGTAGCTCCAACGGCAAAAAGATTAGTTAGTCACCTTAGATGATTTGGTCACATTAAACGTCTATTGTATGATAGCCCCGTTAGAAGAGTAGATGCTTTAAATTTGACTTATGCTAATAAAGGTAGAGGTAAATCTAAAAAGACTTGGGCATGTTGTATAAGAAAATAATCTTACTTTATTAGAATTAAATGAAAATATAACACTCAATAGGACACAAAAGAGAAAAATGAGCCATGTAGCCAACCCCACTTAGTGGGATAAAGGCTAAATCTTGTTGTTGTATAGCATTATGTCCACTCAAATTATAGCATCAAAGTTAATCATCTAGCATATCTTTATGTGATACAACATAACATGATATTTGTGAACCTCTTAATCCTCCAATTTATTTATTGCCTAATAAAAATGAAACAGCCTAACCCATTTTTTGGGCAGCAAATAAATCCTTACATTTAAGCTCATGTTCTTCTTTAACGTTAAATATGTATTTTAGTACATACGCAGAATCCTTCACACATGTATTTCCATTTCAGAAGTCTAGTTTTATCACTCTCCAGTTCGTTATTATTACAAAGCTTCAATTCTCATAAATATAGCCTCAGAAAATAAAATTCATAAAAGGAATATCTACCTACATAGCTAAACAAGAACAAGGTTGGCTGCATCAAGATTTCCTGTTATTTGAAGGTCTGCAAAGCTCAACATTCCTTCCCTCTCGATAAGTAAAGTGAGAGTAGTGTCTTAAAAGGGGAATAGAATCAGCAACAAAAGGCTTACTCAAATGATTTCTCTAGTTCTGCAAATAATTAATTACTATAGCACTAGAAATAATTAAATGATACAGTCTCAAGAGAATAGGCCCACAGAAAGGAAGATGCTAAAATTCAGAGAGACAATACAAGGAACTAACACTGAAGCTAATGTTGGCATGGTTCGAAATTTTGATTTGCAAAATTTTACCCTATTTGAAAAATTAAAGCTCGGACAAATTGAATATGTGACATTTTTTATGCAAGCCTTACCCAAACTGTTGTACCTCTTTCAAGAATCTATAAATGAACACAAAGAAATTTGTCATCCTAAGAAATAAGAAAGCTTCCAGTAGTGTACACAAATAACCATACAAGCTAACATCTAGAAAAAAAGTGATTAGATCTAAATGCTAAGACATTAAGTGTGAATCAACAAAAAGAAGGAAAAAAAGAGAAATTCAACAAAATGATAACAGATTGATAAAATTACATCGAATTAGATGCACTAAATTTTAGAATAGTAAAACTCGATTAAACTTTGAATTCACTAGTATTTATCTCAATCAGTTGTATGATCTCATATGGCATCACCTTCCTTGCAATTAATTTTGAGACAGAGACATAAAATTATTGCATCATTTGGTGCAAATTACATTGGTTTCATGTTCACAACAGTTGTCAAAATTAATGTTTGATTTTCTGTGAATTTCAAACAAGATAATAAAGGTAAACCATGCAAATGATAAATAACAATGAAATACTACAATGTCAAAGTACATCATAAGGGAAACAACTAATGATTTATAAGTTAGACCTATATGATGAGATAATAAATAAAATTGAAAACAAGCCACACAGATAATGCCAATGTGGACGAACTACCCCCTTAAAAAAAGTGACCAAAATAGTTTAAATATTAATGCATAAAATCTAGACTTTTATATTTGACTAAACTCTAAAACATAATTGTCTCGTCAACAAATTTATTGAACTATTGATGCAATTTCACATTCTTCCTGGTTTATGAATTTCTAAGGAAACAAACTGAAAAATAAAATGAATTTCTATCTGATTGGAAAAAATATTTTTATTAAAATTAAAAGATAAAATTATTTTATTCAATAGATTTATCATCATTAATAGAAACGAGTTGCTCAGATTCATAGTAAAAATTCACTAACCAGCTTGCTCATTATACCCATCAAATAAAACAGACATTATTTGTTAAGGTACACAAAAAGGAATAGATTCATTGCCTTCTAAAAACTTGGGTTCATACTGAGTAATTTCTAGCTCTAATAGCAATGTGACGAAAAATACTTAGGCTTCAAAATTGATCTCAATTCAAATTTAAACTCAAATTCAGGTGCATTGTCTCTGCCTCTAGTACTAGGGAAGGAGTCAGCTAATAAATTGATAAGATGAGGGTCCCCATCTAGAAAGAAGGTACAAGGTTAGGGAGGGGAAGAGGGTCCCCATCTAGAAAACACAAAAAATACATTTGACTCACCTCTAGAGGTCCCTCTCCCCACAGTACAACTCACCCAAAAGGGAATCTCCAAAATATAGGTATACCCCAAAACCAAAAAAAATCCAAAAAAGAGTAATCTTGCGTGCTTGTATATCTTGGAAGTATCTTGAATGAAAACGAAACAAAGAAAATCTTGTAGGGGAGCTGTCCTCGGTGCCGCAGATATCCTCAAAAATGCCAAGAGCAGGGACTCCAGCACAGCCCGTGTCTCCAAAAAAGAGAGCATCCTGTAATAAATGACAAAAACAGCCAAACCAAACAAAATAGAGGAAAAGCATAAGAGAAAATTCAGCAATGTCCAGCCTAACCGAAAGGGCAACAGTTGATGGCCAAAACACATAAAACCTTAGAACCGAATGTAGGGGAGATTTAAAGTATCTCCAATGATGAGTCTTCGAAGAGGGGCAGTGGGATGTGTGCTAACGTGAAGGGTCTCCCCTGCACGTTTGGCAAGCCAATCAGCAGGGGAATTGTCCTCTCTATGAACAAACTACCAGTTAACCTCAAGATGTGTTTCAGCTATAAGAGTCAATATTCTTTTAAAGATACCAACTAAATCCCAGAGTGGAGAAGAAGTACCAACCAAAATATCATAAAGCATTTTTGAATCCATCTCCACCTCCAGTTTACGAAAATTGAAAATGTTGGCCACCACTAAAGCCAAAAAGGCTCCCCAACATTCTACAGCCAATGAAGTTTCAGCAATAACTGAGGAAGCGAAAAAACAAAGGCATTTCCCCTAAAAATTTCTAAATAAACCCCCAACCGCAGCATAGTGAGCATGCCAACAGCCATCAACATTTAATTTCACATAGTTAGCGTGCGGGGGAACCCATGAAATAAGCCGAGGGGCCTTAGTGGCTTTAACCACAGAAGAGCTGGCTCTTAAAATTTTATCATAATAGGCAATTACATATGCAACAACCATAGTAATAGAGGGGCGAGAGGTGTGATACTTAAAGCTGTTTATGGAGTTCCAAAGGAACCACAAAACCAATAAAGGGAGGGGAAACTTCTCCTTGCAGGCATCAAAATCATTCCATTGTCGTAAATAACTAGTTAAAGATTCTCTATGTGTCCAAGAGAAACCAAAGTAAGCGCCAATCATATCCCAAACCTCTAAAGAGAAAGCACACTCAAAGAAAATGTCTTTTATATCCTCCTCCTTCATTTTACACATATGGCATCTAGAGACTAATTTCAAGCCCTTAAGCTTAAGAATGTCATCCAGTGGGATTAAAGACATTAGATAACGCCAAAAAAAAGAAGATATAGAAGGAGATAAATATTTATGTCAAATCTATTTTCCTCATATCCAGTCACGATGTGAGTGTAGAGTGCTATAAATGAGCTTGCAAACCGAGAGAGAATTGCTTCTTTTCCACATGGGGAGATCTCTATGAATAGGGGTGATGGGGATTGTGATTTGCATTTTGTTCCCCAACCGTAGAGCATAATTTAGAAAAATCCCAACCTTCATTATCAAAGAAATCTGAGACCAATAAAGAGTTAGAATGAGGAGAGATGAATTAGAATTATGTGAAAACCCCCAATTTTTATTCCAGAAAGAAATCTTCCCCACCCCAATGTCTCAAAAAATGAAACCATTTGTTGTATCTCTAGCATTCACCACAGCTTTCCAAATACGAGAATCTCCAACCTTCCATGAGACCAAGGAAGGATGAATATTAGCACAATATTTTTGCCCCATAAACATAGCCCAAAGAGAGGAACCCAATCTAAATTTGAACCAAAGTTTACATAGGTTCACTTCCACAGTATGCTTTAGTGCTTTAAAACTGAAGCCACCAGCCACTTTAGGCTTACAAACTTTATGTCAAGTACTTCAGATTTTCTTTGCACCATTCCCCACCCAAAGAAATTTCTTAAAGACCTTCTCCATGGTACAAATAGCACTTTTCTTGGGATTGAACACTTGCAAAGCATATAAAGGAATACTCTGAAGAACACTAGTAAGTAAAGAGATTCTGCCCCCAGTGGAAAGGAAAACATTTCTCCAATCATGCACTTTACGTTTGATTTTATCAATCACATCATCTATATTCACCTGTTTCCTTCTCCCCCTTATCATATTCACCCCAAGATATTTAAGGAGAAGAAAGACATTATGAAAACCTGTAAACATAACACCCCAATGAATAATATGTTGCTTAACCTGTTTGCAAAAAAACAATTGATATTTGTCACTATTGAAACGAAGACCGGAGCAGCTTTGGAAATCCTGTAAAAGCCTCATCACTTGTTTTATGACAACTTTAGAAACATTAGTAAAAGTAATAACATCATCTGCATAAGCAAGGTGAGAGACCATCATTTTAGCTTTGTTGGAATACTGAACATATGGATGTGAGAGTTGGAAACTGTTAAGCATCCTAGAAAAATAATCAAAAGCTAAAATAAAAATAATAGGAGAAAGAGGATCTGCCCGTTTGATGCCCCGAGAAGCAGTGAAGAAACCCTAAGAGTTTCCATTGACCAAGACAGAATAATAATTGTTTGAGAGCTATCTTTTAATCAAAAAGCAAAAACTTGTATTAAAACCTCTAGCTTTGAGAACATTGACGATGAAATCCCAATTTAAGATATCAAAGGTTTTCTTGAGATCAAGTTTGATCACCAGATTACCACTCCTGTAATTTTTATAAAGATCCTGTAATATTTCATGTGCCAACATAATATTATCAGAAATGTCACGACCTTTAATAAAGGCCGATTGTTGAGAAGAAATAAGAGAAGGAAGATGAGGTTGGAGGCGGGCCACAATCACTTTACTAATGATTTTAGATATGACCGAGGTTAATGATATGAGCCTAAAATCCTTCCAGTGTGATTTAGCTGTAGACTTAAGGATGAGAACAATCAGAGCAGCAGAGAAATACTTTGTAGGGTCAACACCCTGAAAAAAGCTTTGAATAGCCAGCACCACATCATTCTTAACAATGTCCCAACATGAAATATAAAAAGTGGAGGTGAAACCATCGGGGCCAGGAGCCTTCTGTGAGCTAATATCTTTAAGGCATTAAAAATTTTCAACTAAGTAGGGGGGTCCGACAAAGAGAGATTGGAGATCATATCTCTTT